GTTGACATATATGAAAAGGTTAAATTAAACAAAGTGGCAGAAAGAGATTTAAGAATGATTAACACAACGTTTGGTAATCCAATTAAATAAGGATTACCGAGGTAGGTTAAGAGTAATAATAAACTATTTTGAATACGCAGGGGGCCCTTAGTTTATGAATAGCTTTGGCCTCAGCGTATTTCAATAAGCGCCCTTGACCGTTTTTATAGATGACCATAAAAGCTGAGCTAACACCAATCTTATGGTTCATCTCGGTTAGATGTTTAGCTATAGAAGAAGTTAGTAGTCTGACACCTGCATCTATTGGCTTTTCACAATTCATTTGTTCTTCTAACGCTATCCAAATTTATAAAAAAGGACTAATTGTTTTAAATTTTTTATGTTCACTTGAATTCAATATCTTCCCTGGTGTTTCTGCTGGTTTAGTGTATTCCTGTCTTCTTGCTCCCACGATCTGGTGGATAATGCAGTCCACCACAACTAGGAATATCATCGGTGTTAGTAGATATCCTTATCATTCACGGCAGCGTATACAAACACAAGGATATCCACAAGGCTACATGGGTGTCACCAGATGGGCGAACCAAAAACTAAATCGACTTCATCTCAATCTCAAGGAAGTGGAGGCGCAGCCCGCTGGTCACAAAAGTAAGAAGAGGAGCAGACGTTGGCTCAGACCACTATCTCGTACAAGGGACAATCCAAATCAAATTAAAAGCTTTCAGAGAATCAGGAGCTGCAGATAGACCACAAGCCAAGTTCAACACTCAAAAACTGAAGGACCAGGACACAAAAGACATCTTCACTGCAAGCATAAAAGACAAAGCCGAGACACAAATCAACACTGGCGAAGAGGTCAGCGTCGAAAAGCACTGGAACAACTTGAAAACAGTGTGGAGTCAAACCTGCATGGAAGTTCTAGGCAGAAAGAAGAGACAGGACAAACAGTGGCTCACTACGGACACTTGGAGACTGATAGAAGAGAGAGGGATGGTGAAACAAAAGATTATCCAGTGCACCGACGAGCAACAAAAACAGGATTTGAATGCAAACTACAAGACACTGAACAGAAGAGTAAAGAAGAGTGCCAGAGAAGACAAATGAAAGTATTATGAAGCCATGGCAAGTGAAGCAGAACAAGCTGCAGGCAAAGGAGACCTCGCAACACTCTACCAATCAACTAGGTACCTATCGGGCAAAAGTTTGACACGAATTAAGCCAGTGAAGGATGACAATGGAAAGTCAATCACCAAAGAAGTGGAGCAAAGGAAACAATGGGCTGAACACTTCGAAAGACTCCTCAATCGACCACCACCTACAACGCACCCAACAATACCAACAACGAAGACAGAGCTACCAGTGAACACCAACTCCCCGACGAAATCAGAAGTCCTGAAGGCAATCAAGATGCTAAAAGCTGGAAAAGCAGCAGGACCAGATGGAATCCCCGCAGAAGCATTGAAAATGGACCGAGAGACAACATCGAATACTCAGTCAGCGGTACGTCCAACGTTTGCGTTACATTTTTGCATGATTCGTTACATAAAATTTTTCTTGTTGTAATCCTTGCACAAGTACTCTACTACCTCCATACCTATAACTACTAACTCTCATATCAAATAGTTATGGTGAACCAAAGTAAAAAGCAACGAACTCAATCCCCTGTAAAACTGATAACTAATTTTAAGTCGTTGATTGCTACATCAAGCAACACACTTCCTACAAATTGTTATAGTGAGCCACAAAACTCACTTGTATGTCGTAAGCGTCGAGCTGAAACTGAGGATAAAACTATACTGACAGCTAGTATTAGCACTACTCCCAAAAATTCAGTACCCTCTGCTCATACAGAAACCCTCCCTACACCTTATGTGCTTATCGAAAAGCTCCAGCCTTCAAGCTCTGTTTCAGTACTATCTTCAGAAATAGAACTTCTAAAGTTGTCTTTAGGAGAACTTAGGGCCAAGTTAAGGGACTTAAAAAACAATAAGTCAGTAGATCCTGGAATTTCTGAAACCAATACCAAAATATCCAAATTATCAGATCAGATCAGTGATATCAGATCGCAGGTCTGTGAACTGACACCTTTAACTATTCTCATGAAAACTGTAGACCTTAACAAACTTGACACAGAATCGGTATCTAAGATGGATAACCTAATTAACTTTGTTACTACAGAAGTAACAAAACGACTCGATGCTAAACTAAGTGCTATTGTCTAGAACGTTCCGGACAATGAGGCACTAAAAAGGGTGCAGCGCATCCTACTTAGTGAGGCGAAAATGCCCAACTCCAAGACTAAGTGCTACAGGCTGAAGAAGAGTCAACATGAAAAGTGTTGTCCTATTCGTTTTCAGTCCGAAACACCGGCAGAGGCCAGAAAATTCATCCACTCCCAACACACCCTATCGCAAGTCAGAAATTACAAACTAATAAAGGTTGCAAGCAGCAATTATACCCAACCCTATGAGAGATACCGTAGAATCCACCGCACCAACCCTCTCAAACCACACACAATTATCCTCTCAGAGAGAGACACCAATCGAAAGGCCACTAAATTGTAATCAAATAGCCAATAAAACTACACCACCTAGCACCGTAGATATAGACATGTCACCAAATAATCCCGGAAAAAAGTCAAAATCCCCCGAAAGTCGACCCTGTCCTCTCCTAGCCGTAAGTCCATTGGTAAAAAAGGAGAATATGACCCCAAATCATACCAACAATAAAAATGGCAGCATAAATAAGCCCACATCTCCCACGGTCAATAGTATTGGCACCCAAAACGTGCGAAATGGCACCATGGCCCACACTGATAACCAACGCCACAACAATGCCTTCCTCAATAGTACAAGTGGCAATAGTCAGAACTCGACCATCAACAACTCAGGGCATCCACAGTATGGCACACAAATAAATTTTGATCGGATATATGGTACAAGTCTGCTGGGAACTAATCCACAATGCAGT